CAGCAGGGTAAGATAGCATTTAACAGAGCAGAGGCAACTTGACCCAGAGCTACTGTGAAGCCACTGGTCTTGCTGCTAGGAGTGCGAGCCATTCAGCTGGCTGATATGAAAACACCGGAGACGGATTACTCTTGTACCTTGCTTCCCGTCAGTTGTGTGAGATGAGGTTTCAGTTCTTCTCCAATTACTGAATAAATTGCCACTAAGCAAAATACGCTAGCTTTACGGACACTGCTCTCCGTATTATCATAACCCTAGGAAACAAGAGGAAAAAAAGGTCAGAAGTCAAACAGCACTCACTAACATCCTTCCTGAGCAATATACTGAAGAGTTGTTGAACATTTGCAAACATGGCTGACCTGACAGATCAATAGAAAGGCCCTGCTTAACATAAGTTTGCAACCTGTATTCTCTCTCTGAGTATTCACTCACCCAGTACATCCCATTTGTTCCTTATATTATTAGTTATAACTATCATGTAATAAGTTATTAATATCATGTTATTTATAGCATTAAGCAACAACACACAGTTTCCCACCATGAGCTTAGGAATCTATCAAATGTACACAACTCCTGTGTCCTGTTCAGATGACCGTATGTTAATCCTGGACGGTCAGGACTTCTTGGAAGGGAGCCCTTGTGCTCCCAGCTTGCCTTCAGGAAAGTTTCTCCTGTCCCAAATCTAATCCAAAGGAAACCAATTCTGCTCCTGGGAGTCAAGTTACAGATGGAGATGAATTTTGCAGCAAAAGGGCCTGATGGTTATATCCCTCAAGACATGAAAACCAGAATCCTGTTTTGTGAAGAGTTATTCTACCTGAGTATCACTTTGGACAGAACAGCTCTAACCAGGTATTAGAAACTGCAAAAATCAGAGTCACCATGGATATTTTCCAACTCTTTGAAAGCACTGGGCTTAAACACTGTGTATAACAGTGCTACACACATTTGCTAGTCTGTTAGATGAACTGCCTTTGTAACCTGGAGCTTTTTGATTACCTATCAGGGCAGGAAATACCCCAGGAAAAGAACATGTAGGTGTGCCAGATCTCTGTCAGCGTCAAAAATGCTCAAGCTAGCCACCAGGTCACTCATCAGCTGGTGACATCAGTCCCGTACCTGGGCAGGGACTCATCACTAAGCAGCCATCCCATGAGAAACACAGACATCACTCCAACCTGTGGGATGCTGGCTCCTCTGGATGCAGAGTGACCTCTGCTGGGAAAGCCAGGAGGAGGGATGCAGCACGGCTGGGGCTGCCAGGCTGCCCGCTAGCAGGGCTGATGTTCTAGCTGCAGGGCCAAAATACAGTCTGAAAGGACAGTCTGCAATCCCAAAGAGTGCTGAACTGGAAAAGTAGGAGATGTAGGCAAGCTCAGAGAAACATCAAGCCATTAAGGACCAAAGGGAAAAAAACAGGCTGAGCCTAAGCTCAGAGCAGGGGAACACCCATGGAGGCTCATTCACTGAGGAGACAAAACGGGCTCAAAGGTCTCTTCAGTCTGGGGGTATAGAGATGCACAACACGGAGAGTGCCTCATAGACCAGCTCTTTCTCGCCCAGCTCTGAGAGAGCCAGGATTCCATATCGAGACCAGGGCAAGCACTGCGACTTTCCCCAAGCCAAGCCCTGTTCTAGCACAAAGACCTACATCTGCCCAGGAGGCTCACAGGGATCCCACTCAGGGCTGCTTAGCTACACACTCATGCTCGTGCTGCTGCTGTCCAATGCTCCTCGCCTCTCCGCCACTCTGCCCGGTACCCTTGGCACAAGAAACAAGCACGGAGTCCTTCAGCCAGAAGGATCCCAAAATAATTCCCAAACATGAGGAGCAGATGCCTTCAATCACTATGAGTTTCTAAGGTGAAGAAATATCCCTGGCAGCTTCAAAGGTGAACAATGGCAAACTAGGCTCCAAAACAAGATCTGTTTTAAGACACGGAAGCAATGTATTTAAACAAATACAACGGCATTTTTAAAGGCATACTGTTCCCAAACTTTTCCAGTGCATTGAAACTCCACTGTCCAGATTGTTGTCTCCAACAATTACAGCTAAAAACTTTTTACAACAGAAGTTTAGATCAATACAGAATTGCCTGATTCCCAGATGTTGAGATTTAAGAAAAGAATTGCAAGAGCTGACACTACAAAGTTGAGACAAATGCTAGGATGCACAAGGGAAATTTCTGACTCTGCTCTTGTTCTTCCAACTTTTTATGCTCACAACAAAGAAGCTTCTTTATCCCAGTTCTCCACTGAAGTCTTACTCACCCAAACGTGTCTCCCCTCTCACATTGACTGAGTTGTTCCTGTTGCAATTCCTCCCCAGTAAACACACACATTTCTCTCTCCTCCCTCGCTACCTCCCCTTATTTCCTTCTTGCCTGCAGCCTCATCCCAGCCACTGGCACTGCGAGCTGCTTGTGCAGGGGAACAGAAGACAACACTGCTACAGCCAGTGATGAAAGCTAAATTCACAATGTAAGACTGAGCCTTAGCACTGGCAAAAACACAGCTCCCCACCCAGCCTGGGAGGGTTATGAAAGAGGCTGAACAAGTCAGCAGTAATTTGGTCCTGATTTCAGAGGAAAGGACTAGCTTGCCTGCTGGGATTCAAATTCAAGCGCAAAGTACAATCAAAGTGCAGAACAGTTCAGCAGAATTAAAGGAGACTACAAGATGTATTGCTTGGGATGCACTGAGACAGCATAACATGGAGCCAACTCCTACTCTCAAATTTATTACCTGGCTGCTACTGGCTTATTTAGGAGTCAGGTCAGGCCAAGGTGTCTAACTGAGGAATATACAACCTAGGAATCCAAGTTTTCTTTTCCTTAACATTAAAACCATCAAAAGCTCAAACAACTTAGAGAGATTAAAACTTTAATTTACCAAAATCTGGCCCAGAGGGTTCATTGTTCTCTCTTAGGTTACAGACCTCACAAATTACTCAATGGTAGTTTGTGCTCAGGAGCATTTGTGACATGGGATTCTGTACCTGTAACAACCCAGGAATTATATCGGGAAGGAGCTGATGCAACGATTCCTTGGAAATCCTCTCGATGACTTTCGTCTGCATTTTGATGGCAGCTAAGTTAATTGGATAATCTGCAGTCTGAATGATGGGGCAAAGCACCTTGATGCATTGCTCAGGGTGGATAGAACTTGCCAGGGTGGAAGCAGCTTCTTCAGCAGCTCTGACGACCTGGAATGAAAGCAGAGCAAAACCTTACAGTAACAAGACCACACATCAGAGCCAAAACCACCAGTGTGCTAAGAATGACTGCCAGGAAATGCTTGGGGATGTTCATTAGGAAACTATTGAGAGGTGATTGACTCAGAGAATTCACATCCTTCACCTCCAGTGGCATTCCAGCCAGCGTTTAGTAAAAAAAGTCCATCGTTAAAGTTGTGGCTAGTGCAAAAGAGTCATCTGTCACCCAAGATAGATAGGTACCCCCATCCTAAGAGAACTGAAAGGATAACATTTCTTCACCCATTGTCAAAGAACCAAAATCCACCAGCTTAGACTTAATACAAAATTTATCTCCTTAAACATTACATGTTGGAAGGGACCTCCAGGATCATCTGGTCCAACCTTTCTTGAAAAAAACAGTCTAGACAGGACGGCCCAGCAGCCTGTCCAGCTGAACCTTAAAAGTGTCCAGTGTTGGGGAAAATGAACAACATCACTGCCCCTTTTAGTATGCATCTCACCTGCCGAACGCTTGGGTGCCCACGCACGCTGAGACACTCATGCCTACACGGATGTATCCTGCCATCTCTCAGCTAAACTACGCTGTTATCAAAACCAGCCTACAGACATGAACAGGCTTTAGGCTGTCCCTGATCAGGCAGCTCTCAGCACATCTAACCCCATTAAGACAGCACTGGGATCACTATAAAACTAAAAACAGGGAAGGAAGAACAAGTGGAA